TATAATAGTAAGACAAATGTCCAGTAATAGGGAAGTGGTTGAATCAATAATGGTATATTGATGACAGAATACTATTCAGTCATTAAAAATACAATAAAAGTTCTCTCTAGAAACTCTCCATTTAATCAATTCTCCAGACTGACTACGCTTTCCACTCCCTCTGTAAACAAAGCCTATTTGTCTGTAGCACCACTGCCCACAGCTCCTGCAAACAGTTGACTTGTACACCTACCAGTCATCCACTGGGTTCTCAAACGTGTTTACACTATTTGTACTTGTCACTGTAACGGCATAACCTAATCACATATTATATAAACCAATGAAATATGACTGCTAAAAAGATCAGAGTTGTTTCTAAGACAATTACTTTAAGTTCTAAGTGCTTGGCAAAGACTTTATAAAGGGTAGTCAGTTAAAGAATAGCAATCAAATTATATGTGAGCAAAACCATTGCAAAAGATCAGACAAAAATCATCACAGTTTAGGCTACTACAGTTAGACTGCTTCATAAGCACCTTTAAGTTTCCAATGAATTTTAAAGAAAACGGAACAGCAGATATAGGTGAAGGGGAGGAAGGCAGCAAATCACACTGCCACATGTGTACCTATGCAACTATCTTGCATGTTCTTCACATGTACCCCAAAACCTAAAATGCAATTAAAAAAAAGAAAAGAAAGAAAACAGAACTAGAAATCAAACGTTGTAAACAGGACACTACGGGAGTGGTTTGTGCAAGGAAGATAAACAGAAGGCCAATCGGCAGACCCATTCCAAAGACAAAACTGTGGCCTGATATCAAAAGTCTGGCAAGTGAATGTACATTTTGAATAACATTAAAATAAAAATATGCAATGCATGTAATGTTTTGTTGTACTCTCCTCTTTAACCAATTTTTCTATTAACTAGCTCAAGCTCTGACCATGTTGATTCAGAGGGATTCTTTGTCCTTTGAAAACAAGTCCACTGTAACAGGGACCAAGAGTGCCTGTACTGCCGCACAGTGTCTTGAGAGCACAGTTCACCACTGAAATCCCCAATCGCTTTCCCAGCACAGTGCCTGGCACACATTAAGTCTCTAACAGATAAATGTTGAACCTATAAACTGTGTAGCAATTCCAGAAAAATACAGCATTTCTTTTAACAAAAAGCAAAGTGAACAAAGCAGAATATAAAATTGCACGTAAATCATGACTACACCTTCATTTTGAAATATGGAGGCAAATGAACAAAGCTAGAAGAAAATGCTCCAAATGTAGACTGGTTTTTAGGGTAGAATGATTTATGGGCAATTTTATACATTTTTAAATATTTTCTTAAAAACTGGCACATTCTTTTACATATTCAGAAAGCTACTAAGAAAAGAAGAAAGCTATTTTTATTTTTACTGAAATTCCAAAATAAGAACTGAATCAACATTTCCATTTCCTGCACTCTCCAACATCGAGGCCTCCTTCAGCAAACTCTGCTTCATCCACCTCACCATATCAAGCCATCAGATCTTTCTAATCCTAAGATGGAATGAAACTGACCCTTACTAACACTTACTTGGTGTTTCCAAACCCCCAGGATGCCTTTTTAAAAAATCATAAGTTATCCACCCTCTCATTTAACATCTATTTGGTCAAAAAAAATTCTCAAAACTGCAGTTTACATTCCCAAGAGATTCCCAAACACTACCTAATTAAATCATTCAATCAGAAAACAAATTAAAATGAAATATCACTGCAACCCCCAAGAGGAAAATAAACTTTTCAGTCATGACTATAACAGATCTCTGGGGTGATACTCCAAAGCCTCTTCTAATTGCAAGTCCTATGGAACATCCTGCAGAACATTTTGTGACATTTGCAGCTTCCAGAAGACTTTCCTTCTAAAGAAAAGAGGAGCCTGAATAAGACTCCAAAGCAAAACATCTTTTTTGGAGAACGATATCACTTTCATTAATGACCAAGGCAGCTCTGGGCATCAGCATTCATTCATTCATCCGTGCTTCACCCCACAACTACTTTCTGTAGAATGTTCCAGGAACTGTCCTGCATGTTCAGCAAACACTAGTTAAGGGCATGGAACCTCTGCCTCTTGGCATGAAACAAAGCAAAACCCAGAGCAGCCTGAGTTTATGGAGTTTCCTCCCTCACCCCTCGGCCATCCTCTGAGGTCTCTCCCTCTGATACCCAATTCTGCCATTGTCAATGGACTCCAAGGAATGCTGGGGCCCTTCTGGAAGACAGTTTAGTACATGGGTAAGAACTTAGACTTCTGAAGCCACACTAGCTGAGCTTACATTCCTATACCACCAAGTACCAGTGTGTGATTCTGGACAAATCACATACCCTCTTCCTGCCTCAGTTTTCATATCTGTAAAATGGAGCAAATATTACCTACTTTATAAGGTTGTGAAGATTAAATAAGTCAATATATGTAAAGCATTAAGAGTAGGGCCTGACACATCCTAGGTGCTATGTAATTTTAGCTCTTCGTGTTACCTCTTATTCCCTCCAGCTCAGCAAAGTAAACTGGATTGTTCAAAAGGCTCTGCTAACTAGAGGGCACTTGATAGTGGGGTACACATAAACAGCCTTACCATCAAGCACAAGAGCTTGATCTTATTGTCCTTTACCACCCTCTGCCTTCAGAGACCTGCACTTAACCAGCCCCAAATTTGATAGGCTCTTTACCTCTGTTCCCTAAATGCCAGCTAAGGATGGATGTCTCCAGAATCACAAAAGGAGCTGCTGGTCATCACTACACCATCATGGCACAGCCAACCTGGTAACCTCTGTCCCTGCCTGCCTCATTTCCAGTCTTTCCAAGTCACTGACCCTTTCCTGCCTTCCTACAGGTTGCTTTGGCCCTCTGTCTTGAGACTGTGGTTATTTCTGAATACCCACAGGAGTCATTGCACATGTACAATTGGAACAACACATGTGTTAAGGATCTTGCCTCCTTTTTGTAATCTACTCAAATTTTTCAGCTATAGATTTGAAAGTGCTGAACAGCAATAAAGTTTCTGGGGAGAAAAATCACGCTTCCCTTCGACTTCAACATCATGCCTGTTTCCATGTTGAAGCTTAGAAATCATGTGACATGGTCCACATTCCACATGACAGGCACCCACTCTGTCACAGGCTCAGGGGTTAGTGGCATCCCCTGAATGCTTCCCAAAGCAGTACCTTGCTCACCTCCTGCCTGACCAGATAGAAAAGCACAAGAGATTCATTTTCCAGGAATACACATACACACAATCTGTGAATGAACATCTCTCAAAATCTGTCGTCAAACTAGAAATGTCAAAGTAAGGCAGAGCTTTGTGTCTGCCGGGGAACATTCTGAATCACCCTAGGGGAAACACAGCACTTCTGTTGCTGATTGTCAATCCAGACCTACGGGATAGAAAAGGACTGGTAAGAAACAACAGCAGCAGGCACCCACAGATAGGTAAATTGCTTTCCAAGCCCAGTGCCAGGTTGAGAGGCAGAGGTTGGTCTGAAGAAGCAGCTGTCAATGTCCCTTTTTTCTGGGGAGGGGCCGAAGCCATGGGCTTGTTTTGAAGTCATTAGTCAGGACGCACTATGGGTGTGGACACCCCTCTTGCACTCAGCTGAACCTCCCTTAATCTTCCCCTTCTGGGAAGGAACTATTCTGGACACCTGGGGAAACACTAAATTCAGACGAAGTCGCCATCTCTATCTACCCTGGGAAGGGCAGCAGGTGAAAGCGTTGGAATTCAGACATCCAAGTGTAAACCAAAGGGCGTGCTGGGGGCGGGGGGAAGGGGAGGAGAAGCCTTCAGGTCAACTTGATTTTGCCAAGGTCTGCCCTGCGTTGGCCCCAGAGCCTGGTGGGCTTGCTAGGTTTCCAGGCTAACCAAGCTCGGCCCTGCCCTTAAGAAGCTCACACGCCTGGTAGAAAGCAGGGGGCGCGGGAAGGCGAAGAAGTGTGGACTTGAGCGCGCATGTGTGTGCACACCCGGCGCCAGTGCTCCTGACGCCCGGAACTCCATCCCCTTCCTCTGACAGCTCATTGACCAGGTCGCCACGGGAGAGCGCCCTGCAACCCCCACCCTCCCTTTGGACCCCCGCCCTGGTCTTGAGCGCACCCAACCAGCGTAGCCTTACACTTCAGACCCAACCCAGCTAGGTCTGTCTGCTCCGCCCTGGCTGCTCCCAGGGCCTGAGAGTGGAGCTACCGGCGGGATCGGCGGGCACCTGGTCCTGAGCGGCTCCGCGAGGAAGGCGCAGCCCAGGGCGTGTTCTTCCAGTTTTGGGCGGAGACACCATCACAGTGGACAGAGCTCAGGCTCCAGCGCTACTTCCTGGCGTTGACACCTGCTCCTGGAGAGGGTCCTGGACCCGCGGGTTGTGGTGGGTAAGGGACTGCTATAGGTTCAAACGGCCCTCCAACCACAGAAGGCCCCCTGCATTCCCCATCGCCTACTGACGGAGCACAGCAAAGCTGGGGCTGGGGCTGGGGCTGGGGCTGAGACAATGCAATTTTCCTAGCCTCTCTTGTCCGGCAGCCTGCTGGTCTTAACTGCCAACAGTCAGGGCCGCCGCGCGGGCATCTCGCCTGACGCCTACAGTGGCTAAAAAAGCCCGTTTGCCCGCGTGTTCTCTGGTGTGCACACACAAACATTCACACGCACACACACTCTGAGCCGGACTTATGTGCTATCCCGAGAGCCCGCGAGCAAGCAGCCCAGAGTCACACGCACATTTGGACACGTGCGCAGCGCGCCCCCATACCGCCAGCTAGCTGCACACACCCGCGCGTGCAGCCCTGCGCACACACGTGTGCCCCGGGGAAGCGCGCACGGCTGCAGACACCAAGGGTCCTCCGCGCCGGCAGGAGCTCACACGCAGGCCCCACTACTACCGCAAGTCTGCGGCCCCCAAGCCCCGCCGTGGCTGAGTTGATGCGCACCAGCCCCAGCGCACCCTGAGCCGCGCGGGGCACTCCCGGGCCTCATGCACGACCCAAGTTTCCGGGGCGCCCGTACCTTGAATGTGCTGCTTGATGACATTCTCCAGGTGGTCCAGCCGCTCAATAATCTTCAGAGTGTCCCCTTTGTCTTCCTCCAGCTTCTTGTCGGGCGCCGGCTCCTGCCCCCGCACATACACGCTGGCGATGTAATTGGTGACCCAGCCCACGTAGAGCAGGCAGATGATGTTAGTCATGCCGCTCAGGATCACGCAAGTGGACACCAAAGTTTTGGTCTTCCTGGTGCACACCATTCTGGGCTCCTTCCTCCATATAGAGCTCACGGGGGCCCTTCCTTGTCGCTCGTCCCTGACTCCCCCGCGCTCACACCCCGTAGCACGTCCGGTGCCGCTGGGCGCCCCAGCACCTGAGTCCGGAGGTTCTCCAAAGCCCAGTCCGCTGCCGGTGAAGCCGCCCTGCCCAAGTTTGCAGCTGCAGCCGCTGGCCACCCGGAGAGAGCTTGACAAAGGAAACCAGGTGGTTTTTTTCCAAATTAAAAATCCCTGAGTCCTTCCTAGAGGGGTCACGGGTAGCTGGCAGCCGCGCGCCCAGATGTGCACCTCTGGGAAACTTTACCACTGCCTGTGTCGGCTGCCACGCCGCTTCCCATCGCCGGCGCCAGCTGCCTTGGCGGTCCGACCGACCCGCGCTGCTAGGAGGACCGCGGCACCGGCAGCCGCTGCAAGTAGAGCCGCGAAGCAGAGCGGCCCGGCCCCCTCCGAGCGACAAGCGCCGCCACCAATCGCGCTCCGGCTCCGGAGAGGGGCCGGTGCTGGGCGGTCGTGGACCAACGGGGCGGGAGCGAGGGGCGGAGTCCAGCCCCCGGGCCCCACCTGCTGGCCGCCCCTGGCTCCCGCCCCCAGGGACGCCCCTGGGTGTCCACCCGCCCCCGCCCAGGCTGCCCCAGACCCGAAGCTCCCAGAGAGGGCGCGCTGCCAGTCCTAGCACTTAAGTCGACAGCTTCCTCCGTTAGGGGAATTCCATCTCTTGCTTTTGAGCAGGAATCTCCGGTTTTGGAGGGGTCGCACGGGTCACCGTCTTTCGTCCCCCGGGGCTCCTCCAATGTGCCACTAGTCAACTCCTGGAATCTTTTCCTGGTTGCCACGACGCAGTTCAGAAGCCAAGCAAGTGCCGGCCCCAAGGGCGTTCACTCCTTCCTTGGCCTCACTTGGGCCTCCACCCTGCCCTCCGCCCTTCAGCCACCGGCATCCTGAGTGTGTCCAGACCTGGCCCTAAACCTGGCTCGAGAATCTCCCAGATGCCACATTGGTGACCTATTAGATGACTCTCTACCACTTCCCCCGAACCTCCGCCTGCCCCTCTTTTTGCCCCATCTAGGTTTTTTGTTAAGTCTACACAGCTCCCAGGACATGGATGTGTCCTGTAAGCCCAGCTGTCATTCATGTGGGACCAGGGTTATCCAGTGCATAAGGAAACCCTGCAAGGAAATGCTCTTGGAGGAAATTAAGGTCTCTCTGAACTGTAAAACCCTTATACATGTTGTTTGTGATTTCCATCGGAGAGCGCGCCGAGAGAGAACTGTGACTGAGCACAGGGGCAGGCCACATGCCGAGGCTGATACTGCTGTGTTTATTCTTAGTACCAATGTTTACTCATATTCTCCTCTGCTGCTGAACACCCCATTCTCAGCACCTGAACAGAATTCCTTTAAAGAAAGACATTTCACAACACAGATTTCCCGCCTCTTCTCCATCTCTGAGTTGCTTTACTTTTTTGGCCTAAGAGCCTGGCAGGCAGCCCGCTGCATGCCCACCTTGTGTACCAGCCTTCCAAGCAACCACAGAAATACCCAGGGCAGCTCCCTTCTGGAATGTCTTCTGGATCAAACAACTGGCCCCACAAAAGAGGGAGGGCACAAAACCAAAGAAGGGCACCTCATGGCCCCATCAGCCAAGGGCCCATCTACCAGTGTTTTGCTTACAAAACCTCCCCAAAGATGCTATGAAAACAGATAAGGACCCTGGAAGATGTCCCTTGATCTACAGCTGGGAAAGAGAACAGTGGGTGTGTGTTGGGGTGGGCTGGGATATAGGAGGGGAGAATAGTGTGGTTGGTATGTAGGAGACACATACATGAGAGGAGAGAATGTACAAAATTTCTGAAAACATCAAGGTAGAGAAATCTGCCTCTAAGAGAGAGTAAAACTTGTCTCTCCCTTTTTTCTGTTAGTATAATCCAGCTCACAATAAAGGATCTGAACTTTCTTCTGGTTGGACAGACTTATAAGCAGCATCCTGGAGTACAGGCTAAGGTGTAATCTTTCCTTCTGTTCTGCCCCCTCTCCCAGGAGGAGCCCTGAAAGATCAGCCCTTCTTGGGATCTTCCTAAATCACCACAGGGCTAAACAGAGGAGCCAATACTCATTTTTTCACTTTCTTCATGGGAAAAAATAAAACTCCAAGTTTAAAAAGTGAGTGTCAAGAAAAAAAAGAAAGTGAACTGTGTGATCTTAAATTTTGTACAGCTGATCCTCTAAGACGATGTGTAACTGTAGAGGGGATGAATACAACAAAAGAAGAATGCAGAACAGGTTCTCCTCTCTGAAAAGTCGCAGAGTTGAATTGACCAGTTGGAAGAATTTTCTCTGGAGATGCAGGCAGACTCCAGGGTTCTAATCCCACATCCACCATGTATTAGTTATGAAAGCCTGGACAAATTTCAAAAAGTCAGTGGGGCTCAATTTCTCCCATGTATCAAATGTAGGTAGACAGTACCTTACTGAGGATGGGTTGTGAACATTACCTGAGGGAATGTTCCAGAAAGGGTTTTAATTAGAGCAGGACACAATGTGGGTGCTTAGGATCATGTGAGTTTCTTTCCAGTTATGGTTACTCCCTTTCCAGGCCACAGCTCAGCTCCATGATCTCCATCCTGCTGTTCAACAATACTTGGTTTCTCTACCCACCAGTATTAGCCCTGTCTCCCTTAATGGAAGCTAACAGGAACTAAAGCTATGGGTACCAAGGGGCTCATTTCATCTTGGTTAGCTGGGCTCCGGCACATTGGCTTTCTATTCGTAATGTCTGTATTCACCATCAGTAGTGCAGTGATCTGCATAGGTTGATAAGATATTCAAAATGAAAGGCTGGTTTCTTCCAGGTACTGGTTGCCCACAGTACCCTTAACTTTCCACTTAAGACCCCTAATTCCTTGATTACAAACAAAGGAAGTGGGAGGGAGCACAAAGACTGCTCACAAACATTTTGTAGTCACAGGTCTGAAAAATGTTAGTCCCTTTGCAAGCTCCCTTGTGAATAATACCTGGGTAGAAATTCATACCTTTAGTCCTGAATTCAGTTACTGTATATCCAACCCAACAAGTAATTGTGCTTCTGAGGTTTTGTGTAAATAACCAGTTGTCTAGACTCTGCCCACTTTGCTCTAGACATGTAGATACAATCCGATTTCACTGTGTCAATACGGACCTCTTTTCTGAGCACGGGAAGCTGCTAAACATCATCCTTGGACTGTATGGATGTTTCTGATTCTCAAGTTCATTTATCTAACTCCTAAGTGTTTCCTCACCTTTACTTTAAATAAATCCTGCCTCCTGCAGGGGATCATTGTGAAGAGTTAATCAGATACAGGTGTGACCAGGCCTAGCTGAGACTCCAGTACAAAGTAGTTCTTTAAACTTGCCCTGAGAGTTGGAATCTAGGGTCTCCTTCAACTCCTGCTCCAGGAGGAGAGTGAGTGCCTTAAGGCATATACAGTGGGGCTGAAGATTCTCAATGGGGCTTGTCTACTGGATCTCACCCATCTTCTACATTGGGTAGGCAGCTATTCTCTTGATGTAATTGAGGGAGAGCTAAGTAGGACTTCTTGCCCACAACTACTACCACATTGTCACTCCCGCAACACTAACCCTTCATTCAAAATACCTTTGATACTAGAGTTAGAAAAAGCCAGTCACTAATAGAGTTCAGCCACCAACTGATTACATTCTGCATAGGGTACCCGACCTGAGGGTTAAAGAACAGTGAACCCATCTTGGCATCAGAGAGGGTTGTCAGTGGTCAACTGTACCCACCAGATGGCAGCACCATGCAAAGCCCTGGGGCAAGAGTGTCAGGATTTGGGGGGCTAAAGGGTAAAAACAGGCCTCAATCCCTGTGCTGGCTGCATGGGAAGTGGGGTTGTCAGATTCCTAGGACAACAGGGATTGTTGACACTTCAAGCAAGGATGGATGTGTGGTTCAGAAACAAAAGCTACAGAGGAAAAGTAGGGCCAAGATAGGATTCTGCCAAGCTACAGGTCTCAGATATGATTAACAAAGAAGGAGCACTTCTCGAGGAGGGAGATGGTAAATGAAGAGAGAAACATTTGTTTATTGCCTGCTTTGTACCAGGCCTAGTATTTTTCATGTTCTCTCTTGAGTACAGATTACGGAGCCAGACAGCTGGGTTAGTATCTCAGTTCTGCCGTTTACTAGCTGTATGATCTTGGGAAAACTTTTTAACCACACTGTGCCTCATTTTCTTCATCTGTAAATTGAGATACTATTGATCAGGCTCACCTCATGGAGAAGTTGTAAGAATTCGCTGAATTAATGTATACAAAGCACACTAAAGGTAGTACATAAGCATTGGCTATTGCCATCATTGCTGCCTCTCAGCACCAGAGTATCTAATATGCAAATGAAGACAGGCCACCCAGAGGGCACTTTAAGAGCAAAGGGTCCTTTTGCTCCTCTTCTGTCACCCTATTTACAGATCCAAAACAACTCCTAGCTGAGTCACAGGGCAAATCCTGGCCAGAATCCATCAACAAGACCCATCTAACCCTCCGTCCACTGATTCATCCACCGAATATTTTCTGAGTGCCTGTTCTGTGCTACACCCAAAGCTGGGTACTGGCAGTACAGAGATGACTGACAGACCCTCACCCCTGCCCTCAGAGAGATCACTGTTGAATGGATGAGGTCAACAAATAAACAACCATAATACAGTAGGATAAGCTCTTATCTGAGATATTGTATTAATATAAAAAAGAAGATGCAAGAAGTCCAGGGAGGCACCAAACTCCCCCCTAGCAAGTGGTCATGCAACTCCTGAACAGCTTCACTTCCATTCAGTCACTGGAATCTGCTGGGTAAAAATTTCTACTTTAGACCCAGAGGAAAATATTTGCAATATAGTTAACAGATCAAGGATTGATACCCAAAATATATAAAGACTTCACATAAGCCACTAAGAGGGGCAACAATATCCAATTAAAATGCACATTGCCCTATGATCTTGTACTCAAAGCACGGTCCATGGACCAGTGGCATCAGTGTCACTTGAGTGCTTATTAGAAATTCAGTAGATCAGGCCCATCACACACCTACTGAGTCAGAAGCTGCATTTTAACAAAATCTCCAGGTGATTAAAATATACATTATAATCTGAGAAGCAATACATATGAACTTGTTAACCATGGGCTTTCCTGGGAAAAAGAACCAGGATTAGGGGTAGTGACTGACTTTTATCAGTTTCACTGATAAAATTCACTGTAATTCTGAATTTTTACAACAAGTATTTCTTAATGTAATACTTTTGAAATTGGAATTTTTTTTAATTTCAAAAGTGGTTCTTCTGGCTGTGGTGAAATCTGCTTTGCATGGGTTGCAATCCTGCTTTGTGACTTGAGCTAGTCCTGTCACTGTGTTAAGCCTGGTTCCTCACCTGCAAAATAGGGATAATCCGCACCTAGCAAACAAATAAGCTGTCCAGGCTTACACACCA